TCCAAACACATCTTGAACTCTGCTGGGCTTGGTGCTGTGACCACTTCCCTGGGGAGCCTGTTCCAGTGCCCAACCACCATCTCCGTGAAGAGCCTTTTTCTAATATCCAACCTACATCTCCCTGACAGAACTTCTTGTCCTTTCCTTGGGTCCTGTCACTGATCATGGGAGAGGAAACAGTACCTCCCCTCTGCTTTCCCGTAAGGATGGTGAAGAGTGCAATGAGGTCTTCCTCCAGAGAGGAGGTGTCCTGTACTTGATTATAGTTCAATGCAAAATGTGGAGCAGCAGAGCAATGGCTGCTATCACGTGAGTGCATGCAATACATTTAGCTGTGTCAGAACTGGATGAGAAGGTAAGACTGAGCCTATGACAACTGGGAATTGAAGAGGAAAAACTAATAGCTCACCTTAATTTCTAAGTTTTTTCATTGTTAGACATGTTGGCTCTTGCATCCATGTGGATGCACAGTCAGTCATGTGCATAAAATATTTCTTTCCAAATTCACTCCTACCAATTTTTGGCTGTAAATATTTTTGGGTATGTTTTAAAGAACTGAATTATGAGAGAAACTTCTTGCATATTTTTGTGATAACTTCAGCTTGTTACTAAAATTGAGTGGTAGGAAGTGTGCCAGTGTTGCTATTACTGGAGCATACGTTAATATTTGATCTAAATACATTGACCAGACTGGGATATTTTGGTTGAAGCTTCATTGTCAAAAAAATGCTGAAATGCATACCATTTGAGATCTGCCTAGGACTGAATATATGCCAAAGCTCTTCCCATTTTCAAAAGACCCTGAGTAGATATCTATCCATGTGTTTAACTGGTATGATCCATTTTGTTTATAATTTGGTTTGTGTGTGCTCTAAGGTATTTTCTTTTTTCAGCTTGTCCTGGACAACCCAAAGAATGTGTATTCCATTTTTCCTTAGCATCAATCCATGCAGTTTGTATTAATGTCCCTTTCAGACCTGGTGGCCAGAAGTGGACCTGGAGTGTTTTACCCTGAAGGGGTAGGTTCTGGCAGTGGTGGGAGGTTCAAGGGATGCCTTTAAGAGATGGGGAACAGGCGCACAGGGTCCTCTTTCTTGTTTCTTGCTGAGATGCCAAGGAATTTGCCTGGCATAGGTCTCCAAGAAACTGCTTTTTTTTTCAGTCCAAAACTGTTTCAGAGGGAATTTCACAATACACATCCGCAGTGCCGAGCTGGAGCTGATGGGGCCAGGGCTGTGGGTTCTGGTGCCCAGTGTGTCAGCTTTCTTTCCCTGCAAAGCAGCAGCAACTCGGAACTGCAGTGCCCAAACCAGCTGGGTCTGGCAGGCCAAAAAGAAGCAGAAGAACTGACACCGCAGGTTGGGAGCTGCCCCAGGCTGTGCCAGTACCAGGGAACTGACACTGCAGGGGGAAGGCTGAGCCAAATGGGGCTTCTCTGCCATCTCGCACTTGTCCCCTGGGCCACACGGTCTTCTTTGGAGGCCACCGTATCAGGATGGGGCTTCTCCACCATCTTGTTTTCTTTGTTCATGGGGAGTTCATGTGAGGACTCAGTACCTTTGTACCTTGTGATTATTGCTGTTATCTAGGTTGTGGATACTTTATTTTTTAGTAAAATATTATTTTTTCACTTATACCTTCTCACATTCATCTCTCCTTATCAGTGAAAGCTGAGTGGTTAAAATTAAAGGGGAAGTAGCTCATTTCTCAGGCTCCACCCCATAATTTATCTTAAACTTAATCATGCTGTGCAGAATGTTGATTTGAAAATATACATCAATTCACTTAATGAATTTGGTAGCAATTACATTTTTTTTCTACTCCATTTCTATTTGATTTGGCCATGTTTATGGCAGAAGAGCAAGGAGAGAGGAGGGGAAGCTGATTTCTGCACCGCCTGAGGGCAAGTCACCATCATCCATGGGCAGCTGTGGAAGCATAGGGCAAAGGGAGAAATCAGGAAGCGTCCAGAACTCAGATGAAAGCTCAGTAGGTCTTTATCAGGAACTAAAACTGTGCACATCATGGACAGGCACAAAGCACTCGCATGCTCCTGGTGCCAAAAACAAGGTGGGACAAATAGCCAGTGAGGCCCACAAAGCTGACAGTGCCAAACTGCACACTGAATATGTGCCTTCTTTTTGTTTCCTCTTCCTGGCAGCATCAGTACTGATTTTCAGGTATTTTCTTGCTATCTGAGTAACAGATGAGAGAGCATCTGCAGCACTGTTGGACCTACATTTGCTCTACTCTAGTGTCCTCTTCACAGACCTCACTCTCATTCCTCTCGGAAAGGGAGTAGGCAATAAATGGTCACAGAGTGTGAGCCACTGATCTGGTTAATGTTGCTTCCTGTGCTTGTGCTCTGAACATAAAGAGGTTGAAGGCAGATAGGAAGAAGCTTCATCCACAGACCCACTGCAGCCATGACCAGAGCTGTGACAGCACCCTTGCATTCTTTTTCCATGGCATGTCAGAAGGAGGATCTGGGATCTTGAGGGAGCCTAGTGTCATTCTCTCTGTGCCTCTTATGGGTTGTCCATTTTCCACCCTTTTGTTCTTGATTGATGCAGTGAAAGTTTACTGTTTGTCAGAGCCCCAGGCACAAAGGAGAGGATCTAGTAAGATTGAGCTTGTGTTTCATTGATGTCCTGGCCATGAGTGGAGGCATGATGATAATCAGCAGTTTAAATGCTCTATTTTAGACACTGGCTGAGGTACTGAAAGTAATGAGTTGAGGTTTTCCTTCAACTGAGCTCAGCATGCTTGGTATGCTTCTGTTAGTTATTTTTTGCTTCTTCTATGAAGGAAAATTTATTAGATACGGTTGGGGTTTTTTTCAGTGCAACAAAGCAGGCGTGTTAGCTAAAATGCTGCCAGACTAATGTGTTAATTATTACTCATCTCTAAAGAATGAGTCTAAAACAGTAATCTTTCTGTTTTGTTTGATAACTGCCAAAATGCCTACTGAAATAGATGGGGGAAGTGTCAAAAGAGGGGTTAAAAATAATGTACTGTGCCTACGGATAGCACTTTGCTATGGGTGGTTGTAAATCCTGTGAGTGTCTTGAGGAGGTAGGTGCTAGATAGTGTGAAGCTGAGGATCCTGTATCAGACTGAGGGCTTGATCTTTTAGCCTTGATGATGTCAGAGGTGTGGGGGTTTGTTGTCCTGTGAAAACCCAGTGAAACTGGATAAACCCAGCAAAATTTTAAAAAGCACTTTTTGCAAATTTATGCAGATGGTTGCATTATCTCGAAATGATCCACAGCTCTCCCCCCACCCCCCTGAGAGGGTACATGCCTTCTTACCATGAAATGACAGAGCCAATGCCTAGACTGGGAGATGGTTGTGGGTATTTAGTGCCCTCTGTTAGTCCAGAGCTGGGAAGAAATGTCATCAGGGGAAATTTCTCTGTGTGTACAGGTCTCAAATTTCTTGACATGGTGGCCTTCCCAAAGTTTCACCAAGAGGACCAGTGGAGCACCAGAAGCAACACACAGAAATTAAAAGACAGAAAAAATAAAACACAGAGAAAATACTTTTTTTTTTCAGTAGACATCAGACGCAGCAGCACAGGAAACACAGAGGTGCAGCCAGGGACCTACAATGGTAGAGCTAAAAAGTGCTGATAAACCCACAAAGGCAGGAATAGGCACAACTTGGTTCCCATTTCTCTAGGAAACGGAGTCTACAATGAATTGTTTATGGCCCAGAGGAGAGAGCTAGTGCTGGTGCCTCATCCCCATGGGGAATAATGCCTTTAGAGACCCAAGCATGTGCACAAAAGACTGTCCTGGGTGCCAAGTGTCAGAATTTTCCAGGGGGGCCCTGGGGAGCTGCCACAGAGTTCTTTCTAAGCCCTGCACAGCACCATCCCTGGCCATCCCTTGCTATTGAGCTGGACTGATTTAGAGCAGTGTTGAGAGTTGGGAAAGATGGGCAGGGTAGACTGGTATGGACACTTTTGGACACCCAGGAAGTCTGGAAAGCTTCTTCCCCCCAGCTGTGGGCCACAAAGCCCACTTTGTGGAGCATGAGCAGCAGTATGTGGTCAAAATGGCCCAAAAGAGCCCTAACAGGCCATTGCTCAGTGCAGCAGAGGAAGGTAAAATAACTCCAGGTACCATTATCAATCTGTCCCAGGAGAAAATTCCTTCCTGACCTCAGCGCCGGTGATCAGCTATTCCCTGAGCACTTGAGTGAGACATTTCACCTCCTTGTCACATAGGGTGGTAAACCGCCCAGGAGATGTCCAAGCCATATTCTGACTCAACATGGAGGCATCTCAGGGGCTTGTAAGAGTAGCCATGTGCCCCCAGCCTAATAGATCTTGAAGCCAACATTCCTTCCCATGTCTGGCAGGACACCAGTGAGTGCTCCAAAGCCTGTAAACCCTTGCAACATCTCTGCACCCTATATCTTAGCACCGCTGCCTCGTCTCTGCAGGGCATGACAACAGAAAGCCCAGTAGTGTTCCTCCTGAATGGATCCCCTTTGGTCTTGCCGTGCTCTCCAGCAGATAAGGGCTGAGACCCTTGGGCACCTCCTCATGTTCTAGATCTCTGCGCTGCCAGCAGCCCCATTCAGCCCCCTATTCCCTTCCCTTCCCTTCCCTTCCCTTCCCTTCCCTTCCCTTCCCTTCCTTCTTCCCTTCCCGTTTCAGGTGCCTCCCTGAGAGCCTCCGAGGGGCGAGCAGAGCAGAAAGTGAGGGTAGGTGGACAGGGAGGAGGACTGGGTGCAGGCTGAGGCCGTCGTTCCTCTGATAAACCCGCTTTCCCCGCAGCTGCAGCGGCATTCGTTGCAGAAGAGGCCGCGGCTATGGCGGATATGGCCTTGCGGCTCCAGAGGCCCACGGCCGTGCCCAAAAGCCCTAAAGCAAGCAGCTGCCACCCACGGTGAGGTTTGAGGAGAGGGGGAAGATATACCGGGAGATAGGGAAGAAAGCAACCCTCAGAGACCGTGTCAAAGAAACAACCATTTATTTCCTATTTCTACAGTTAGGGGGTTCTTGGCTTGCGCCGTTGCCGGCGGGTCGGCCTCTTCGGGGGCTGGGGGGAATCTTCAGGGCCAGAGGCCCTTCTCTTTGCGGGGCGCCGGGGCACCTCGGGCGAGTCCCGGCCAGGAGAGGAAGGGCTGCGGCCGCAGCCCTGGGCAGAGGGGCCTGCGACTGCTGCTGGCCCGCCCGGCTCTTCCTGGCGCTGCTCGCGTTCGACAGGGACGGGCACGGATGGAGAGCTTCCAGCCGGGGCTTCCACCGTTCCTACGTCCGCTTCCACGTCGGACACTACGGGGCTGCAGGAGGCCAGGATGGGGGAGGGAGTCCCCTGGCGGGAGGCACAGGGCCCAGGAATGGCCGCGGAGCCCTCCTGCTCTTCCTCCTCCTGCTCCTCCTGTTCCTCCTGTTCCTCCTGCTCCTCCTGCTCCTCCTGTTCCTCCTGTTCCTCCTGCTCCTCCTGCTCCTCCTGCTCCTCCTGCACCTCCTGCTCCTCCTCCTCCTCCTCCTCCTCCTCCTCTTCCTCCTCTTCCTCTTCAGCATGGGAGTTCAGGAGGCTCATCTGGCGCAGGATCTCATCACTGCACCTGTCAGCGGCGATGTCGATGAGCTGGCGCACAAATGTTTCCGTCCGCTCCTGCAGCATGGGCTGCAGCTCCCGGACCAAGTCCTGCTCACTCAGCCCGTAGCGGCACAAATTGGCTACGGTGGCACTCTGTGCCAGAGCCACGTCCCACCAGCGGGTCTGGAGCAGCTCTGATAGCTCCGCGTTCAGCCAGGGTAGCACGGGCTCGAGGATTTCTGAGCAGTCCTGGAAAAAACCTGCCCAGACCTCAGTTGGGAAGCCAGCTACGTAAGTTATGGGCACTGGCTCCACAGCCCCTTGCTCATCCTGATGGCCAGCAGCTGATGAGTCTGAGGAACTTGGAAGAACTATCTCCAGAAAGTCTTCCTCTGACCGAACAGAGTAAATGATGCTGTTGATAGCCTGCCTGCACAGGGGGCACAATGGTTTTGTCTTGGCCCACCGCACAATGCAGCCCAGGCAGAACAGGTGAATGCAGGGTGTTACAGAAGCGATTTCACCTGGAATGTCATGGCAGATAGGGCAGTTCCAATCTGTCTCCGTGGCCATGTTTGGGTGTTGCAGTAGAGCTGGGGTCAGCAGCTGTTCCCTCTTGCTGGTGGGACACGCTGCAAAATGCCCCTTGCTGTCCCAGGGATATGGGTGGTTAGAAGAAATGCCCAAGCCCCTCAAGAGGGACACACTCACAGCTCCCCAAACACCCACCCACCCCAGGGGCATCCTGCAGGCATGTTTCCTGCACTGCTCACCTCTGCTGCTGCAAGCACCAACCACAGTACTTGGCTTCCTGAACCACGTAGGGCTAAGGAAACAGGCAAAATCTCGTGAATGAGAACTGAGAGTTGCTGATAGCGGCTCCCAATGACCTCACAGGCTTCCAGTCTTCCTAGGCACTCTTGCCAGGAGTCCAGGCGCGAGCGAGTCTGAGCCAGACTCTGCCCGTACCCAAATATAAGCGGTGAGGCACGTGAGGTCACAGTGCAGAGAACCCTTAGGTTGCTATCCATGGAAACTGGGGACCGCTGATGTCACAATCCGCTGTTCTGTACCGGCAGCCTTGACTGCTTTCCAGATCTGCCATAGCAGCCCTTTCTCCCCTGCAGGTACACGGCATCTGGATAAAAAATGGAGTGCATGGGCCATGCTGTGCCAGCATTCATTCATGCCTCTGACTTTTACAATTGTTTCGAGTCATTAGGCCAAGCACTTCTCCTTTAGAAGCTCATTACCTCCTAGTTTTACATTTTTGTCATGGGAGGGTGCTGTGTACATTAGGCACATGGGTTGGCATATTTAAGTATGGTGAGATGACAGCCCATATTCTCTATTCTCAGTGCTTGCCTGCACCACTTGGAGAGTTAAGAACATCCTGACATTTCATGCCAGTCTCTGCACAAACCTCCTGCTGGGTTGTTTTTAAATTCGGATTTATTTTCTTCTCTACAGCCCCATTGGATTGGCGTTGATGGGCACAATGGTGTGGTCATTAGCTCAGTGACCATTAAAACCCTCTGTTGCTCCCATTCCATTCAAAAATAAAGTTGAAAATGGATAGATAACTGAAAAATAACCATCAAGAACAGTTTTGGGAAAACCAGTCAAAAATGTGGAGAAAATCTATACTGTCATTGACTTTTAATCTCCCTTGTGATAGTGCTTGCCACAGACTGGGCTACCCAAGAAAGGGCAGGTCTGTCTGTTCTTGCTGTGCTTCCCAAGCTGCTTTGCCTGCAGCTTTCAGGGAGCTGTAAATCACTCCAGCCAGGCTTGCAGCTGGGCATTTTCTGCCTCCTTAGGATGTTTTACCAGAACTAGTGGGAAGGGATCAACTGAGTTACAGCTTGAAACCAGCCTGGGAGAGAAGGGGATTTTTAGAAGAGTTTTCCTGTCTCAGCTTTATCATCTTCTTGGGAATATCTTCTAGAGAAAAAGCCCTAGGCATATCACAGGATCATCCCTACCTTCTTGAACCCTAAAAATACATAACTTCAGTCAGTGCTAGCTGAGCAGGAGTTTAGTTCATGTTCAGTGTGAAGTGGAACTTCTAAAAGCCAAGTTCCTGCTACTGCCTTGATGAATGAGCCCAGTATCCGGGGTTCTCTGTTGGAAGGCAGATGTGTGTGTCAGTCTGAGCCTTTTCTTGGGTCTTTCCCTGCCCTGACCCCTTCAGTGCTGAGGGCAGCACCAAACTGTCACCTGGCCCCTCCCTGTGCCCAGGCTGTTGTCATGTTTAAGGGCAGGATGTTTTAGAGGTCCCTTGAAGAGTTTTGGTTTATTATGAGAGGGAAAGGGTGAAAAAAACAACCAGTCATCTATCTCTTTGGATTAGGGACCTACCTGAGCATCCTTGGAGATTCTATCTAATGTGCCACTGGCAATTGGCATGGCTGACTCTGGGTTGTCCTGTCCAGCTGTCTCTGGTTAACAAGCAGGATGAGATGTGGTTCTCTAAGGAAACTTGTGTTTCCACTGGGTCCCTTAATTCCAGAGCCCATTCTCAGGGTGGCCAATCAGTAGCACTCAAGAAGGAATTTTTCCCCAAGGCAGATTTGCACTGGTTCCTGGGGTCTTTTGCCTTGCTCTGTAGCACGGCATGACCACTGTTCAGGGCTCCTTCAGTCCCTTTTGGCTCAGTTGCTGCCTGCTGCTCATGCCCCATGAAGATGGCCTGTCGTGCCCTGCAGTAGTGGGCAGGAAACTTTCCAGACTCCCAGGGTGGGCCCCAAGAGTGGCCTGGGGGTTGCTTCTTGTCCTCCTGTAGCACTGGGCACAGCCCCCTGTCAGGGCTCCTCTGGGCCCCTGTGGCTCCGTTCTTGCCTGCTGCCCTCACACCTCCAAGGCACCATTCATGCCCTGGTTTTCTCTGACTCTTGCCCATTGCAAGCTTGGAGTGGGGCTGAGCTCTGCTCTTCCCTTGGCTCCATTTCCCATGGGGTTCTCACATCCGTCCAGAAATGCCATTTTTCTGTTCTCCTGCCTGCAAGCACAGGCAGAGAGTGCTTTTCATGCATCCCTGGCCTCAGAGCACAGCAATGAAGCAGATCTTGGAAGGTAAAAAGTGTGTTTGTCATTGATGCATATTACAATTTGGAACATGCCCATGGTAGTACACACCTTTTGTGTTGTTGCTTCTGATTCTCATTCTTCATGTTCTCACCCTTCAAGGAAATGACCTGCTGGGCCTGTATTCCTGCTGTTACATTCTGTAGCTCTGTCACTTGCCTTTGCTATACTACAGAGGATTTTTCAAGCTAAACTGAAGAACAAATCAGCGTGCTCCTGGCTACACATGCACATTGTGGTAATGGTTGTGAGCATCAGCTCTGAAACTGATCCAGAAAAACAAAAATTAAAATAATACCCTATTTCCAGTTGTAAGCTGTGTGTCATATGTTCTTGAATTTTGGGTTTTTGGGTCAGAAACTCCCTGGAACTTCACACAAATAATAGTCTCACCATCATTTGACTCAAGGTGAGTGGAATACAAAAGAACAGAGCAGTTATGCCATGTTAAACCCAGAGCTCTGCATGACAAGGTTTGACCCAGGTCTGAGGGCTCCATCCTGGAGAGCAGCTCTCTGCAGTGCAGGTCCCAGGCCCACCCAGGCGACAGAAGCAGAGACAGGCACACCTACAGCAGGGCTCAGACACGGACTGAAGGTGCCAGGATGACCTGGGACACATCCCCTGGGCCCTTGGCAGGAGGTGGTGGGGCTGGGGGTCCCAGGGGAGGCCAGTCCCAGCCACTGAGGCCTGTGAGCACCCCCAGGACCTTGTCAGGACTACAGTGCTCATGTGCTCTTCTTCAGACACTGGTGGTTGGACACTCTGGAGACAGAGTATTGGGCCAGAAGGACCTTCCCTCTGAGGGAGTGCTGCTGTCCTCAAGCACCTGTGTTTTAGTATGTTCTTCCATAGAAAACAAACCAGACATTTCTAAAAATGAGTACAAGGAGCAAAAAAAGAATATTAATGGGGAAATGAACAGGTATTGCTCACTTCCAAGTGGTTTGCAACCATTTAGATGAGAAGCACATCCTGCACTAGACTGAAAGCTTGATCTTTGAGCCTCACTAGTGTCAGTGATGTGGTATTTTGCCATCCTGTGAAAACCAATCTCAGCTGAACACTGTTGAGTTTAAAAAAAACCACTACACTTGCTTTTTGTGAATTTTTGCAGATGGTCCCTTTATCTTGAGATGATCCACAGCTCTGATCTCCCCTCAGAAGATACACACCTCCTTCCCACAAGGTGATAGAGCCAGTACCTAGGCTGAGAGATGGTTATGGGTATTCAGTGCCTTCTGCTAGTGTGGGGCTGGGAAGAAATGTCTTCAGAGATTTCCCCAGTGTGTACTGGTAGGGAAAGATGGGACACAGAAAAGGGAAGAGGAAGAGAAAAAAGGGAAGGGAAGGGAAGGGAAGGGAAGGGAAGGGAAGGGAAGGGAAGGGAAGGGAAGGGGTGTCGTTTTGTTGTTTGTTTTTTAATGGCTTTTGCTCATGTGAAAAATTATATTGTTTCATGCACTTATTGGATAAACAGAGATAAAGCAGTGAGACAGTCACAGTACAGTTGTACATCATACAGGCTGTCTGCTCTGAATGTCTGATACTTTTGAAAAGTTAATTTCTGAGGCAGAACCCTCTCCTTTAGGTCCAAGGTTATTGTGTCATCTTCCCAGGCAGTATCAAGTTGATAAAAACATTAGCTTTAACCCAAAAGTTTGAGTGAGCAATGACATGAATGATTTTAGTTTACTGTTAGAGTTAACAGCTGCCCCAAGAGCAGCAGCTGTGAGGGCACTTGGAGGATGACACATTTCTTGCAGCAGAAGCAGTGGGAATTCATTTTCTGGTTTAATCTTTGGTATGCTGACCTCTAGGGAAACTTTTTTGCAAAATGGTTTGCCAGTGCATTTGTGTAGGGAGCTATTGTGGCTTCAAACAAGTCACAGACCTTTTTCTAGGGACCAGGCATTTGGTGTCAAATCCAAACAAGGCCCTCACATGAAGCTGCTCCCTCAGGTGGTTCCAGCATGCTTGTGCGAGTAAAGGTCTTAGTACATTTAAACTTAGTCAGTCGGCAGAGGAAATACATACTGAGTTAAGAAACAAGGTGATTGTTCTGAATATTTGTGAACCTGGTAGTTGAAAATCTAGAAAGTCCTCTTGGCACTGAGTTTGTGCAGGGCAGCATAAGCCTTTCCATCCATGGCTAAAACTGCTTCAGCAATGGATGAAATTGCTAAACAATTGAATCACTTAAATTCTAGCCTGATGGCTTTGGGAAGCATAAATAGATTGCTTTCCCAAAGGAATTGGGGTGAGTGGCAACTGTCTCTCATCAATAAACCTATTTCAAAAGACTAGGCTGAAAAGCCAAAAAGCTGTGCTTTGACTGTTTGTTACTGCCTACACTAACTCTGTCTCTTAGGGCACATAGTCCTTCCTTCTAGGTGTTTATCTCGTTTCACAGAATCACGGAATGGCCTGGCTTGGAAGGGACTTAAAGATCATGTAGTTCCAGCCTGCCTGCCGTGGGCAGGGACACCTTTCCTAGCCTCTAAATAAATTTATAGAACACTTTGATTTCCTGTCTTCGTTACACTAGACAAATCCCGCTCTGCCAGTCTCCTCTGAAACTGAGATTTCAGTTCACCGATGATATTCATAGCCTTTTTTGCTCCTGTTGTGAATTTATTTTTCTCTGAATGAGAATGATCAGGACAGAGACTCAGTGGTCTAACAGTGACTTAAAGACACCATTAATCTTTCTCAGCTGTTTAAGTGTATGGGTTGTATTTCACTGGTAAATCCACTTGTGTCCCAATCAGCCAATACACAGGTCTTTATCCTCTGTTTTTTTCCAACAGCTGAGTTCCCAGATCATTGCAACATTCTTGTTGAGAAGAATAAATATGAATAATAGTTAATCTAGTCAGTTTTTCCACAGGGCCTTGGGAAACATGAATTATTGCACTCTAGTCAATAAACAATCTTAGGGCAAGATACAAATACAATTGCAGCAAAGAAATAGCGGAGGTAGCAACAAAAACTACAGCAACTACACAAGACAGTATATGTAGACATCAGACTACTTTTTGTAAAATGGTTAGAAACATGTGAAAGCATACAGTACATCAGAGAGTAAAAATGTCTAAGCCTTCCATATTTACCTAAAAAAACAATCAAACAACAGCAAAAAAAAATAAACCTAGAAATTTGAATTCCTCTGTGTGCTTGGGATAAATTGTTCTTTTAGGAGAAAAAACAGGTTGCTGCTGGAAGATTGAAAACAAAACTTCAAAGAACTCTAGGTACATGTTATTGCTTGGGAAATAGAGAAAACCAGACACCTTCCCCCAGTCAAAAAAAAAAAAAAGAACCCAAACCAACCAAAACCATCCTTAAGGAAAAATGCCTACCAAGTCAAGAAACAAGCCATGAGGAATTCTGCTGAAAAATAAAGATCCTTAAACTACTGAAGACTTTACCTTTATCTCTTTTTATCTTGGTGGATTGACACTTTGTTCTGCACCAGAAGGATATTGCAAAGTTTTTTTTACACATGGTAGCACAGACAGGACACAGAAACTTTTTTTAAAAAGAAGAAAGTACAACAAAAGCCTTAACAAAAAAAGAAGTGGTACCATTATCCATGACATGTAGCACAGCCTCCTCCTTACCTGTGACCAGCTCAGCATCTATTTGTACCAATTGTGTTACACTAAAGCTGGTGAACAGTTACTCAGAACAGACTTAAATGTGCAGATACAACAAAGTATTTGCATGAAAAACAGAATATGAGTTGAAGAGGATTTTTTTTCTTAAATAAAATTAAATTACATAAGTGTTAGTCCAAGTTTCCACCATGGGATGTTTGATAGAGAAGTCATTTTCCAAAGGTTCAGTTTCTAGAGCTGGCATAAAAATACTTTTGGAGACGATAGTATTTTGGCTGCAACTTTCCAGGTGTGTTTTTCCCTAGTGTTTACCACTGTTTTCATGTGCTGACCATACAGTATTACTTTGAAAGATATGAGATTCCTGCAACCAACATTCCTACGGCACAAAGTTTCAGCTTCTTGTGGAACAACCATCTTTACAGAGTACTGGTTCTCACACCATTGCAGGTGCCACTGCCAGAACCTTATCTGGACCTCCTCTCCCTATTATTTGCTCTTCCATGCTAAACCTTGTAGAAACAAGCTGTTATGCATCTTGAATTTTCTGCCTGTGAATCCAACAATTGGCACTATGCCATCCATGTTTTCAATGTTTGTGAAGGATTTTATTCTCCGTAAGGAATCTGTTTCAGATCTGCTTTGTTATGTCAGGAATTTATGGATAGGTTTCCATTGTCAAATCCTGTCAGCTGACAGGTGACATGATTGCTGCTGGCACATCCCCTTACAACCTGGTGTAGCTCATTTCCAGGCAGAGCAAACTTGCTATCATTAGCAGCTTAGCTTCCAGTTAAGCTTCTCTGACAAGTCATAAGGCTCACTCCAGATGCAGAAACACCAGCATTCTACTGCTAATGACATAAGTCCTTCAAATAACATATTATTTCAATAACATACCCCTCCTCCAGAAATGCCAGGTAATGCTTGGGAATAAATTAGAAATTGCAGCCTGTGTTGCTTTGTCCAGATCTGCCCTGTGTAATTTTCCAGTCTCTACAATTGCCTCTGAGATTGAGGGTTGTTGGCTTTCTGGGTTTTGTTTTTGGTTTTTTTTCCAATGTGCCAGAGGCCTGATGGCACACTGGCTTTGCTGAGTGTGCTGCAACAGCCCTGGAGAACCTCTTGGTTGCTGAATATTCACATACAAGGTAAGCAGAAACGGATGTCAGCAAAGCTGAGCTCAGCCTCCAGACCACTACTGAAAAATAAGCTACTCCCCAACCCCAGGGAGATGCACAGTATTTCCGTAAGGCACGGCATGCTGATAAAAACCCACAATCTCACAAAATATGAATGGAATCACTGCCTAGGTTAGAGTAATCCTTCTTGGACAGGGACCTTTTCTCCTGAAATGGGAGGTGGGCCAGCACATCAGGCTTTTTGTGTACAACTAGAAAAATAGGTAATGAATGCTTTGATGACAATGTTTGGAAGAAATCTGAGTTGGAACAGAGAAGTGAAGGGTGAAGTACTCAACACACTTGTGAAAGGAGATTTGCTGGGTCGCAGATGACACACGGGACCTGGACAGGAAGAATATTTTTGCTTGGGTTGAGAAAAGAGGAGACAGAGAGAATCAAGGAGCTGAAATACAGCAATGAAAAACAGGTGGGTTCCTTTGTTTTGGTTTTTTATTTGCGCTTTGCATTTTACAACAAATGTAACCAGTCTGTATATAAGCTAGCTAACAATTTGATAGCAAGGTGGCGAGAAAACCATTAAATCCCTAAGGGAAGGCAATAGAGTCTGCTTTTAAAGTGCTCACAACAGCATTCAAGATGGTATTGCAGACAGCTCATAGAAGATAGTCATCCCAAGAAGCTGAGTTGAGGCACACTCAGTTTAGGCTCCAGTCATGAAATTCAGTAAAACCATGAAAAGGCAGAAAGATAGAGTAGGCAAAAAAAAAAAACTTGAGTTTTTCATTAGAGCATTAAATTGGTAAGTTGGGAAAGAAACCTAAAATATCCTAAGTTTCCTAAGTTTTACTTAGTTTCAGTAGT